ATTTCAAACCCTTGATCTCGACCCCTTTCATCTGCAACTGGTTTTTTCCTGAATACCGATTGCATTTCTGACCCTGGAGAAACTCTGGCTTTTCAAAACTTTGCCATGACGGTTGGTCGGTTGAACTTAACCTTTTCGACTTTATTTTGCCTTCGAAGGCCTATCCATTTTTGAATTCTTTTTCTTCCTCTTTTTTCTTTTTTTTCTTTTTTTTTTCTTTTTTCTTTTATTTTTAACTTCGTAGCATTAGGGAACTTTTTCTCCTCAAACTTTGGCGCAATGGCTAGTCGCGTGGGACTTTACCTTTTTCAACTTTGTTTCGCCTTCGTAGGCCTTTCATTTCTGGCTTCTTTCTCTTAACTTTAATTTCAAATCATTTGGGTACCTTGCCTTTTCAAAACATTGACGAGACGGTTAGCCGCGTAGGACTTAACCTTTTCAACATCCAAGAGTTTTCAACTTCAAAACATCAGCCACCATGGCCGGTCGAAGTCGACTTGATGCCCCTAACGAGGCTGGGTGCCTTATTGCAAATTAGCTCGTGTCAAATTTGAACCCTGTAAATCAGTCTTGCCATCCCTTCTTTGTCTCAGTTTCGGAATAAAGTTAGACTGAAAGAGATTCAAAGGAAAAACAAACGAAAGACTTGATAAATGAATTTAGACAAGAGGTATCCCTTTGGGGGAAAAGAAAGAAGGACTTATCTGGAGTGCGTGCAGACTTCAATGAACATGACATGCCTTTTGGACTGGATGCCTGATCTATATAAGCTGTCCGACTCTCATAAATTCATCACAACTTTTGCCTCAAAATCGAGAAACCTTGCTAGGACTCTGTCGATGCCGATGGCTGTGAGGATCCTCTTTTCAATCAGGGGTGCTCTTTGCAGGTTTTCACCAGCTGACATCTCTCATTTCTCCTATCACCATCGCATTATAGTGCTCTTTGTGAGTTTTCACTAACAAGACTCTCTCATTTCAATTTCTCTGCTTACCATCGCCTTACGGTGCCCGTGTGGATTTTCACGAGTAAGACTCTCTCATTTTATTTCTCTCATTTTGTTGTATCAGATCCAAGTAATTGTATCCTTCGATTCCGAACCTCTTTGCCGATTGGTCAGAAGGACTTGAACAGGGTTTTGGGGTAAAAAGGATTTGGATTGAGTTACAACTTTGGAACCTTTCGGGCGAAACCATCGTCGATCCATTATAACATCTGCCCCAGTTTCACTTTTAGGGGGAATTTGGATTTTTATTTTGATGTGACTGAACCCCAGAGAGAGGCTGCCTATGTATCCTTTCGGAATTAAGTCGAACGTAGTTCAGGGAACTTTGTTTTTGGTTTGTTTTTCTTTTCTTTTTCTGTTTTCTTTTTCTTTTTCCTTTCCTTTTCTTCTCTCTTTTTTTGTCATTTTTCATTCCAATTTCTTTGTCTTTTATTTCCCCCTTCTTCTTTTTTTGTATCTTTCTTTTTCTTCTCTTCTTTTTTTCTATTTTTCATTTCAAAATTTTTTTTCCGACAATACTTTCAGGTTCCAAATAGGGTAATCAAAGAAGACTAACCGGCTCAAAGGGTTTGCAAAGGGTTGATAGTGTTTGGGTAGCGAGAATAAAATCCTTCTTCATCCCAACCGGAGAACATTAATGTTTTATAGAGGATCCAACATAGTACCTTTGACTGCATTTTCATCGACAGTTGTTTCAGGGACATTTCCTTTGATGTGTCCCAAGTACAACGCACTCTTTTTGCAGTACTCTTGTTGCAATGTATGGAGCTTTCCAATCTGGAATCAATTTTCCTTCAGATGTTCCGAATCTTTGTTTTATTTCCTTAAAGTTATCTTCATTGTGATCTAATTCTTGATTCATTATTTCGAGGTTTGACAGCGTTTAAGGATCTGGGCATGAAGTCTGCAAGCATGTCATGTTATTGAAATCTACATTTAACAGAACTAAAAAGAGAATAAGAAAAATGACAAGATTAAGAAAAGCGACATTCCCGGACAATTAAATATTAATTTCATTTGATTTTTTGATTTTTGATTTTTGATTTTTTTTTTCAGTTTTTCTATGATAGAAGGGTTTACATCAGAAAGAAGGACGATAAAGTAAAACGTTCCGGATCACACCCCGAGATAATCTGAATGTAGAAAGGATAGCAAGACTGGCTACTGAGACTCCCGTCTGATTGGGAACTTTCAGGCTTGGCCACCGTTTTCTGGATTTTCTTCTGTCTCGGCAATGGCTGCAATGGCCTTCAGTGCCGGATCAAATTCCTCATCTTCACAAATCATTTTGACTATTGGCCCGCTGTTGTGGGCAGGCAACATATTGTTCATCACATAAAGAGCTTCTTCATCTTGAAAAATAATTCTTTCAGCTTCAATCAAATCTTCAACTGCCCTTTTGAGGGTCCAACAGTCCTCTGTACTGTGTCCCACTGCTCCAGAGTGGTATTCACATCTAGCATCAGCTCGGTGCGAGGGGGACTCGGGGTTCGGCCGGTTCGGTGCCACTGGCTGCAATAGATTTAGCCTGATTAGCTTTTGGAACAAGCTTGAATATGATTCACAAATAGGGGTGAACTGATTCTTTCTGAAAGGCTCTCTTGGGCGGGGATTGTATTGTGGATTATTTGGTTGAGGATTATATGGAGCTTGGTAAGGATGGGCATTTCTGGGACGTGGAGCTCGGTTTTGTGGATAATGTTATGGCCGCGTGTAAGGTTGCGCGTTCATCACCGCGTAAGGAGGCGGTGCCACGGCATAAGCATCATCTTGAAGGGGATAATAGTGTGGTGGGACCATAGGAGGCACATATGATTGGCTGAATGACCTGCGGCCCCCCCTCGAGCTTGAAGCCATCATGACTCCCTCTTCACTTCCATTATTGCTCATGAAACCCTCTGAACCACTCTGGGCAGCCTGTGATGTGGCCTTAAAAGCAAACGACTTACCCATAGTAGACATCATGTTCTGGAAGTAGTCTGCCTCTTGGGCCTGTAGAAAGACCGTGACCATTTCAATTTCATCCATTGGAGGCTTTACCCTGGCAGCTTGCTCACGCCATTTGACAGCATATTCGCGGAAGCTTTCCGCGGTTTTCTTTTTCAAATTGGAAAAGAGTTTCTGTCGGGAGCGATGTGAACATTATACTGGAACTGGCGGACAAAATCTCGGCCATATCATCCCACACGTGCCAACGAGTAATTTCTTGATCCGTATACCACTCAGAAGCGATTCCGGTGAGGCTTTCCACATAATAGGCCATTAGCATCTCCTCTTTTCCACCAGCGACCCTCAACTGGTTACGGTATCTATTCAGGTGAGCGACCGGGTCTCCATGCCCGTCGTACATTTCAAATTTTGGCATCTTGAAGCCAGCTGGCAAGTGGACATGGGGAAACATACAAAGGTCAGAGTATGAGACAGTTTTTTGGCCACTCGGACCTTGCATGTTTTTCAGGCTTTATTCCAGGCTCTTCATCTTCCGAACCATTTCCTATTGCTCAGGATTTTTAACAACCTTTTCCTGCTCCATCGAGAGGTCATATTGCGGAGGTTGAGTGGAAGAGTACGTGGTCACATATGTTATTTCTGATTGAAGCTGTGGACCATGAAAGGCGAACATTGGAGGCTAAACATACGACCATGGTAAAGTTTTTTGTACTCTGGTGCAGACTGGTGCTGCAGAGAACAATATTGGAGGTGCCTTGGAAACTGGCGTCTGGGGGCGAACCACTGAAGGCATGCCAGGAACATTGGATAGCATTGGAGGGTGCCAGTACGGGATGAGCGGGTTGGGCACGGGGGCGTTGGTAACCTCACCTGACCTGGGGATCAACTCAGGAAACCCAGGGATTGCACATGGCGGTTCCCTACCATTAGACTAGGCGTACCACATTTCCAATATGTGGAGACGCAACGTCTTATTCTCTTCAACAGCTGCTGATTCTAGCTGCAGAATAGCCGATGTCGGGCTATCCTCAGGACCGATGAGTGGTAGATTGCTCGCGAAGGCCATCTGTGCCTTTGGATCTTGTGAAGGAGGGGAGGCTAGACTACCAACAAAACCAACCACCAAAATGTGGCTATTTTGCACACGCAATAACCTTGTTAGTTTTGAGACGCTTACCAGATAGGAAATTGCACGTTTGGATGCAATGCACCTAAACAGTTAAACGCTTCTACCATGTGTTTGAACGGTTGCATGTTTCATCCGGCCTTAACTAACTCTCTCAGTATGTACCTCTTTTCTTTTATTTTTTGCCTCTCTTTAATCACTCTTGATTTTTTTTTCATTTCTTTTCTGCCGCTCTTTTATTTTTGGCCTTCTCTTTTTTTTTTGTCACTCTCTTTTATTTTCACTTTTTCTTTCTTTTTCACTCAATTTTTTTTCTTTTTTTGTTCAGATTATTTTTCTCTCAGTTTATTTATGACTATGATCGAATCCGATAGGGATTGCCTACGTATCATGACGCCGCATGAATCAGATCTTGCGTAGTTCGGGAAGATCGAGAATAAAGTAAATAAACTAACTCTTTTTTTTCTACTTTTTATAAAACTCAGACCATGAAAGCTTTAAGAAAAAGAAAAATATTTTTTTTTCGATGATTTTTTTTCATTGAATTTTCGAATGAAATGCTTTAAAAGAAGAATGGAATTTTTTGTTTTTTGAATTTTTTATTTTGATTTTTTTTTTATTTTTTTATTTTTGAGAGAAAGACTTCTAAAAATTTATTTTCTTTTGATGATGGTTCTCATTTACTCTCAACACCTACCTGTTTCTTCAACTCTTAAACCTCCCAAACCCCCAGATATCTCTACACACTCAAACACAACCCAAATTTCCCAAAGTAATCCAACACGACCAATGATCATTGATACGCCTGACCTCCCTATCCCTCATACTGTTTCATATCACAAATCCTACCTCAACACTCTAACCTCTACAACTCATAATTTCTCATCCCCTAACGGCCAGGACCCTCAAACATTTTCCATGACAATTGAGGATGAACAAGAGGTACCAGTAGCTGCATCAAATTTTATTCCACTTTCACTCGAAGAAAAGAGTAGAATTTATAAACCCTGGCAATATGCAGTAATTGCTAAGGTTTATGGTCGGAAGCTGGAACGTGAAATACTTCGACAAAAAATTTATACTCTTTGGCAACCCACAGAAAACCTCCGTCTAATCGATTTGGGCTCCAATTTTTTTCTTCTAATGTTTCAAAAGGAAGAAAATAAAATTCGTGCTTTACATAATGGCCCTTGGTTCATTTTGAATCATTTTCTCTCAGTTCGTCAATGGGAACCAAAATTTATGGCATCGGAGACGAAAATAAATTATTTCACTATATGGTTACGTCTACCGGAATTACCTACTGAATTTTATGATTTTCATATTCTTCAGAAAGTGGGTAATAAGATTGGTAAATTATTATCAGTGGATAATTGTACCTCTTTTAAAACAAGAGGTCGATATGCCAGACTGTGTGTTGAAATACAGTTGGATAAACCTTTAAGCTCACATGTTTATATTGGAAATCAGAAGCAATACATCCTCTATGAAGGATTGAATTTGCTATGCATTAAATGTGGTCGGATGAGGCATAACCAATGAATTTGCACCTATCAAGTGCAAGGTGCACACCCTTCTGATATTAACTATCTCAATCCACAAGTTACCCCTAACCCTACACAAAATCCATCAACGGCAGAATGGAAAATAGTACAATTCCCAAAGAAAAAAACTTTTACCAAATCTAGTTATAACACTGTCGATAAATCCACTCATCCTCTAGGTTTTTCAGGTAAGTCTTCCACCTTTACTCCTCTTATTCTTCCTTTTACACACTTAACTCTTAAAAACCCTACTACTATACCTAATACCCAACAAAACACGATACAGCCTAACCCACCTACTTTAACCACTAATCCTTTTGCTTCATTAATTAATGAGGATTTGGAAGTATCTGCTACACTACCTCAACAAGCAAAAGATGCAAAATTATTTCCTCCAAAATGCACTCAAGTGCCTATTAAACCGGTCCACTCACCATTTAGTCCACATTCAACATCTTCGCAATGCCATGCAAATGGCCATGTAAGTCCCCTCCACATGCACACCTACTGTCTAAACACATCCTCACCAAATACCATGCAAACCCTACTACGTGACATACCAGACACAACTACACCTGCTCCTCCCTCATCGTCCACCCCTAACACTAATTTCACAATTTCCATGCAACGAGGCAATGATTGTTTGACCACCTCTTCACACAACACAAACACATTACCACCACATCAATCAATCCAACCGACCTCCTCCACCATTGATACATCCTCCATTATAACTCTATTAAATCGAGACACAACTTCTCACACTCCACCTAACAATATCTTCACCTTCCAAGTTCCACCATCAAAAAGATGTTCTCACCAAATCTCAATTACCTAAGGAGACACCACTCAACACTAAACCAGTCCACTCATCGTTTGCTCCACAATCACACACCTTACTCTCTTCCTCCTCCACACTTGATCATGGAACCAAGCACCATAGTTTACACTGCACAGACTCCTCATGCACCAACGCAGCTCACATCTTGGCTGGAGACCGGGCTACAAAGCCATGCTCTCACTTTTACGATGGAAGTCAACCATCAAGAGGTGACCATCCTTATCAACCACCCCAGGGACCTGGCTCAGATAGTGATGGAGGGCATGCAATTAGGAATGGAGATTTACAGCAGGTACCATTGGTCAATGACCCAGGCTCCATACATTGCGCCATACCAACAACCTCCCCTACCAACACCATATTGGGACCCACTTCATCTTCATCCACACCTTCTTCAAATGCCTTTTTATCCACACCCCCATACTGCCACACCGTGGATCTAACCTTACTGGGATCCACTGCTACCTCCAACCCCAGTTTCATCACCCACTCAATCACCCCCACACAGTCCCCCTCCAGAAGAACAAGACCAAAATTTTCAAGTAGAACTAGATGCAGCAGTCGCTTACAACAGAGAAACTCGACCAATCCATGCATTTCTAGATGGAATAAAAGTCTTTGTCCAGAAGGAGGAATACGAAAGAAAGATCTATATAAGGTGTCCTCAAAATCTCCTCAGAACCTCATTCCGTCTAAGGCCAACTACAAATCCAGCAGTAGGGAAATATGCAATGCTTCTAATGCCCACTTTCGTCTTCAGACCTGGCCAGACGAGCACTCAAAGGGATCAAAGGAACAGTCGCCTGTTTGATTATACTGACAGCCACATGAATTTTATTATTTGGAATTGCAAGGGTGTTCATTCAGATGATTTTAGAAGGAATTTTCGATCCTTACTTGACTACAACAGGCCAGGTCTAGTTGTTCTGCTGGAAAATCACAGTAATAACCACCAAATGGCTAAGGATGATTTTAACTTCACAAGCTTTATAGAGGTTGCAGCTATTGGCCAATTTGGAGCAATTGCGATATTGTGGTTGGCTGATGTGTTGCATGTGGAATCTGTAGCCTCCACAGGTCAGGAAATACACTGCAATGTTCAGGTGCTCCCCAATCCCTTTAAATTTTTGGTTACTGCTATTTATGCTAGTCCTAACTTAGCTAACAGACAATTATTATGGGCCAATTTAATGTGCATATTTGATAACTCTAAGGGACCTTGGGTAATTGGGGGAGACTTCAATGAAATTTTGGAAGCAGATGATAAGTTTGGTGGCTTATCGATAAATAACTCAAGAACTAATAAATTCTTAAACTGTATCAACTATTGCAACTTGACAGATTTAGGTTATAAAGGGAGTCGCTATACGTGGACAAATGGTAAACATAACAATAGTAATATACTTGAAAGAATAGATTGTATTTTTTCTAATTATGATTGGCTTAATCAATTCCCTAATACACTTGTTACACATCTTCCTCGTATTGATTCAGACCATTGCCCGCTTAAATTAGAACTACAATACTACCCTCTCCCAAGAAAAAAAATATTTCGATTTGAAACAATTTGGGTTTCCCATCCTACTTTCCCTTCATTAATTAACCAAGTTTGGTTATAACATTTTCAATTAATCCCTACTATTAATAAATTTACTACACAAGTACAAGAATGGAATATTTCTACTTTTGGGAATATATTCAAACATAAAAAGAAGCTAATGGCTCGAATCAGTGGTATTCAGTCCTCAAACCACTATCCTACGAGCCTATTCTTACATAATTTAGAACGTACACTCATAGTGGATCTTAAAACAATTCTAAAATTAGAAGAAGATTTTTGGAAACTTAAGTCACGTGTTGACTGGTTAAACGACTGGGATGCGAATACAAAATTCTTTCGTCTAAGTACTATAAATCGTAGAAGGGTTAACCGTATTACAGCCATTCAAGATCAGGGAGGTAATTGGATAACAGACCCTATTTCTATTAGGGATAATATTACTACTTATTATCATAATTTATTTCAAACTCAGCAACTTAGATCCTCTCAAAATACTTCTATCAGCCTTTCAAATGTTTTATCATCGGGCGACCAATCTACTTTAACTCAACCATTACAAGACTGGGAAATTACAAATGCTATACATTCCTTCAAACCTCTTAAAGCACCAGGTCCGGATGGACTTCATCCACTTTTCTACCAAAAATACTGGAATATCATTGGCAACTCAGTAAAATCTTTTTGTCATACGGTTTTCAACGAACATAAATTGACCCCTCCATAAATAATACTTCCATTTGTTTGATACCCAAGAATAAGAATGCTTCCACTATTTATCAATACAGACCAATTAGTCTTTGTAATACGATTTACAAAATCATTACAAAGATTATTGCAAACCGCCTAAAACCTCTTTTACAACATCTCATCAACCCAACTCAATCTAGTTTTCAAAATAAATAGAAGGGCTGCAGACAATGCTATTATAGTACAAGATGTTATGACTCGCTTCAAAAACATGAAAGGCAATAATGTCAATATTCTTCTAAAATTGTACTTAGAGAAAGCTTTTCATAAATTAGAATGGTCTTTTATCCATTACTCTCTATGCTCTCTTAATTTCCCACCCACCTTCATAAAGCTTATTATGTCTTGTATTACAACTAGTAATATTTCAATACTGATTAATGGAAATCCTACTGAATACTTCCAACCCACACGGGAATTAGACAAGGAGATCCTCTGTCACCTTATTTATTTATTATATGCTTAGAAAAGTTTTCACGAAGGATAAATACATCAGTTGATTATCGTAATTGGTCACCTGTCTCATTAGGTCATCAAGGGCCTCAATTATCCCAATTATTTTTTGCGGATGATATTATTCTTACTTCCAAGATTACAGCAAAATCTTGCCAAGCGATGGTTAGTACACTTACACAGTTTACTAATCACTCAGGCCAAACAATCAATTTTGGAGTATCTAAGATATTTTTCTCCAAAAATTGCTCTTTCACTCTTAGAAATGCTATACTACAACTGTTCCACATGACTGAGGGTAAAACTTTTGGAAAGTACTTAGGTTTTCCAATTTTTACTAGTCAACCAACAAAAATAGATTACCAGTTCTTAATAGAAAATTTTAAAAATAAGTTGGCTGGCTGGAAAATAAATTTTTTAACAAAGGCAGGACGAACAACTTTAATACGTCCAACTTTAAACTCTCTTCCCAATCATATCATGCAGTATATCAAATTACCTTCTAATATAATTACTTCCCTATGTAGGTACCAAAGGAACTTCCTTTGGGGCAACACAATAAATAAAAAAAATTACATCTTCTTAAATGGGCTACAATCACACAACCTCTGGATAAAGGAGGTTTGGGCATCCAGAATCTTATCTTTAAAAATCAAGCTCTCCATGCAAGTCTTGCATGGTGGCTTTTTCAAAACCCTAATCAACTATGGGCACAAGTTTTATTACATAGTTATATAAAACCTTCTAGTATACACAGGAAAAATAGCTCAACAACTTGGCGTAATATAATGCAAGAATGGTCTTATTGTAAAATTGGGTTTAAATGGAATTTAGTGACAGGTAAACATGTAAAATTCTGGATGGATCCTTGGCTTAACCAGAATACTTTAATTCGACAATATATATATATGGACCCCTTCCAAGAGCTGAGGAACATAAAACTGTTTCAAATTATTACTACAGTCAGAATTGGCATTTAGATCAACTGCCGTTTATATTACCAGCTCAGCTACATACTATTATCCACAATATTTACATGTCTATTCAACCTTCAACATACAACCAAATCTACTGGGGTCTTACACCAACAGGTTTCTTCACTGTTAACTCCATGTATAATTCTCTTTCAACAAGTATGAATACTCTAACAACTACTCCACTGGCAAACTACAGCTGGATTTGGAAATTACCTATTCCTCCAAAAATATCACATTTTATATGGTTAGTCTGCCACGATAGGCTTCCAACAGATGCATATCTTAACATGTTAGGTATTCTCAATTCAGCTATTTTTACTCAGTGTCATAAATGCCACTATCAGAAAATGGGCCTATGGGAACAGTAATTTTAGCAACGGTTCAAGAACCGTTGCCATAGACCATATATGGTAACGGTT